TTCCTCTCTTTCTCATCTGTGCTTCCATCTTTCTGTGACCTTTAACCTTTTGGCTAATTGCAATGTCTGATGTGAGCATTTGCTGCATTCAGACTTTAATCGGTTAAATATTATATTAGTGTAAATCACACATAAATGTATGATAAACGCAACAATTAGACTCCAAAGAGTCCTTTCCAATATTAATATTGCACACACTGATATGGTGATGATATTATAGCTGGGATATATTGTGTAGTCTTCATTTAATCTTTTCTTTAATCAATGATTTCAAATATATTTTTCATATTCTGCTCAACTGTGAGGAAATGTGGTGATTTGACGGCAGCTCCTGCAGACTAGCGGCAGCAGCAATTAGCAATTACCTGTTGGCATCGAATATCTGCTGAGCTTAACGTACAAACTACAATGCTTTTAAGTTATTTTTGATATTTACAGCATTTTTTGAGTGTTACTTGACTGTGCTAAAAAATACAAAATACTTCCCCTTTAAGTAACTGGTGGTAGTCACTAATCTGGTTTGCTCTGTCATTTATTAATGTAAGCACATTTTAATCAGGACAACAAATCTGATTGTATTGCTGAAACATATTGAATAAAAGAAAATCAAATGAATATCAAGAAAACAACGTGGAAGCATAAAATAACTGAAAAACCGTTTACTTGAACAGATCAATCAAGAGGATCTCAGTGAAGGGTAAACTTTTAGATAACCGATTTGGTTTTGAGAAGCTTAAAAAAGGCATTTAAAATATTTGTTCTATCTTTTCTGCTGTAAGGAGTCATTAAATAGATTTAAGAGCAGCCACATCGTCACTGTGTATGCATGCTGTAAAACAAGGCTTCAAACAGATCATATTGTTGCTGTGACTGAAACCACAGTCTTTGTTTTTAACAGAATAAAAGCCTTTACCTCAACCCAACTGCAACTTTCCTGTTCTACTCTTTAAATGTGGCTTTTTGTTCCAACCTGAAAAAAAAAAAACAGACAAGCATTAGAATAATGTAAAGAAATAAATAAAATGCAATTCTTACTGATTTGGCTTCTTATATTTCAGTATATTTCTGTGTTTTTTTCGACTCCCACTGAAAACACACCTCACTGATACTTTGAGCAGCTGCGCTTGAGTCTTCCTCACTCACAACTGTGTTACGTTGTTCACTTTCAGTTTGCGACACGATCAATCAAACTGAAAATCATACAGTTCCAGTAGATGGCCAAGTTGTATCTCTAGTTTCAAGGCATCCTATATGACTTTTGTTTTAATTTTATAATTTGAAATTAATAATTTTTCTATTTTTTAAATCCTTTTACTGACAACTCAGTAAAATACAAACTAAGCATAAACTAGAGTATCATTTGGGCCAATCACAATATTGCCCGAAACTTAAGTTTTTGCTTGTTATAATGTGTACATAGAACCCTACAGGGTCTAAAATGATTTATTGTATGAAGTTTATTTTGGACTTGTGACACAGATTAGGAAATGTTTACTGTAAGTGACCTGATGATGTTTATTCTACAGTAAAGTCAATGGAAACTCTGTTCCCACAAACTGTAGGAAGGCCAGCGGCAGATTACAGGTGCTTTGCGACTCAAGTCAAATTAATCTGTTGAAAGGCTTAGCGTGCGCTGGAACACAGGTTTGTGTACATCAGGTGTTTACTGCCGTACTTATGGAGGTTCTTTAATTAAATAGTTTAATATCTTGTTACTGAATGCAAAGTGCTGACACCTAATCCATCCTTCACTGGCTCCCACAAGAGTCAAATGTTCAGTATTGTGAATTTTCAATAACATAATACCACAAGTTTTATATCAAATTGTAAATAATTCAAATCTCTCATGTCTTTTCATTCCTAGGCCTTCAGGACAATCCTTGGTTCTGTGACTGCAAAATCTCAAAGCTGATAGAGATTTCCAAAATGGCTGACACCCCAGTGATCTTGATGGATTTATTTTTGACCTGTGCCACGCCGGACAATCTAGCCGGTGTTCTTTTTCAGCGTGCTGAACTTGAGAATTGTGTGAAACCATCAGTGATGACTTCTGCGACCAAGATAACTTCGCATTTAGGCAGCAATGTCCTCTTGCGATGTGACGCCTCAGGATCTCCGACTCCAGTTCTTTATTGGACCAAGTCCGATGGCTCTCCAGTTAACAACACAGGTAAAATAAAATGTCTTTTTTAGAAAATATAAGTTACATTTTTGATAAATAAAAGGTGGGTGGAAGTCTTCAGTAACTCCAAACTTTTAACAACTGCTTTCTTTTTGCTCCACCATTCAGTTCAGGAGTCACCCGGGGAAGGCATTAACTGGTCCATCATGAGCTTGCATGGAATCGAGCATAAAGATGCTGGGAACTATAGTTGCAAAGCAAAGAATGTTGCTGGTGCTGCGAAAGCCACCATTTCTTTAACTGTGGCTGGTACCACGAGCACTACTGCTCCCCCAGTACGACCCAACGCTGGAACTGGACCAACCAGCCAAGGCACAGCGATCACTCCACCGACTGACACTTCTAAATCACCACTCACTGCACCAACAGCCCTTCCTGGATCATCAACACCTTCTGCTGCCCAAAAGCCACCCAAACCAATCTCTGGCAACAGTTCCCAGAAAAGTTTGCTCAAAGAGACCAAAACCCAGCAAGGCGGCAGTGGCAAAAAATTAGCAGCGGATGAGAAAAGTAAGAAAACCGACAGCTCAAGAGGTCTCAAAGACCTGGAGATTGTAGAGCAGACGGCTGACAGTGCAGTGCTGCTCTGGACTGCAGGTGGATTATTGAATGATGCCCCACTTACTGTTGTGTATTCACCATATGGGGAGGATGACAGTAAGAGGACGATGGAGACCAAAGCTGGAAGCGGAAAAGTGCTTCTTGACGGACTGTCTCCTGGAATGAGATACTCAGTTTGCCTTGTAGCTAAAGGTAGCGCCACTGGAAAAGATCCTTGCATTGACTTCTACACAGAGGACGGAGAGCAGAACATACTTTTCTTTATCATAAGTGGAATTGCCTGCATTTTGGTTTTGCCTCTAATTGCTCTTCTCAGCTACAAAATTCTTGTCCTTTACTGCAAAGGAAGCAACACATCTTTGGATACAAATGAGCTGGAAAAAGAAAGTTATGTCAAATTTGAGACAATCTCAATGAAACGAAGAACTCTGAACTCACACCCAACTGAACTCTGGGCAAGAAGACCGACGAATGAATCTGAGCGTCTGTTGTTGTGCTCCCGGTCAAGCATCGACTCTCAGATGACCTACAAGAGTGACAGCTCTCGCTCTGAGTATCTCTGCTGATGTCAACATACATTGCCAATAATTTAACTCCATGCTCATCCATCTGCCTTTCAACATTCTGAAGAAAATGACTAAGAAATTATGCATGTCCTTTTTTATTAATGGTGTATAAAGAATGATTGTGATGTACTGAGAATTGTTCCTCTTTAACCATTTAGAAAAGTGTGGAATGGATCACAACAACCCCCTTTATCCTATTCCTGAGCCTTATACTTCATACAGTTCATATAGTGACGTTGTCTTCAATGCCAAAACCATAAGGTTGGAATTTAGTGGTGATCTCAGAGAAAACCCATAATATTCTCCAATACGTCATAGTTTCTGTAAGGATCCAGCTAATCGTTGCCTTACTAAACACAGAAGTACAGTACTGTTTGTGTGTTTGTTAGAACACAATATGTGAATCATTTAATGAATGTTGCCACATTATATTTTCACTTGTAAATAAATGTTTCCTTTGAATATAAGAACTATTGTATGACTTTCTTGCATGGTGTCTCCATAGAAAAGTATTTCAAAATAATTTTATAAACTCTGAGGAGCATATAGAGAAAACCATCTAAAACCTTTCAGTTACTGTTTTAAAACTTTATATTGACTTGAGTTTTATGTGGTTATGATGCCCTGATGATACTATGAACGTACTTTATAGTTTAATCAACGAGTAGTCAATGTCACAAGTTTGTTTTAATGCTTTTTAAACTAGAAGGTTTAGAATGAATGAGTTACTAAAGAGGAACATTTTCAACAACCAGGCCAAGATTTTTGAAGAAAATAAATAACTGAGTTGTAAAAATCTCTGAAGATCTGAAGTAAAAATGGAACAACTTCAGATAAAATGATGATTCCACAAAATCCTGCAATTTATTCCTCAATTGGTTCTGTTTGTAAAAGGATCCTCCTTTTTATTTATTTTGGTTAAAATCTCACTTTTCTAGCTTTTTTTTAATTTATGGAGTGAAAATCTCAACATATAACCTCTACCTGCTGATTCAAACTCATGCATGACTCTGACTAAACCACCAAGTCATTCTGGTGTCTTATTACCAGCATTAACATTTTTATTATCCGTCTGGGGTGAAACGGTGAACAAAGGTCAGTGACCTGCAGACTGGAGACAAGACAACTTTCTCAGCAGCGTAAATCTTCTGCTCCTCTAAAAGGTTACTAGTGGTGATGCTGGTTCTAACAATAACCCAGTCATGGAGAGCATGAATAGAGGCCGTGGTCCCCGGCCTCTGACAAACAATTTAAGGATAATCTGTTCCACCGGGACAGCGTTCTCTAGAAATGAGTCATTCTGTCAATTCCTGCTGGGAGCCAGATGAACCTCGACAGGAGACAAGCTGACTTTTCATTCACACACCAACCCCAAACAAAGTGCTCACTGTGTTTTTTAGCTTGTGTAAAATGTTAAATGCACATTTACTGTATGTTGGTTTCACACACTGAAAAACATTCATTTTGCTCCTGAGTTAAGTAAGACAATTCTTAGGATTCCCACAGCCGAGTAAATAAGGCCCATTTCTCCTAATTTTCCTCAAAAACATCCATCCGTCTAACAAGGATCAGGTCTGTGGGTGGGGAAGGAGAGTAATGAGTTGCTGGGACCTTTTTTCAGATCAGTTTAGAGCAAGTCTTGCTACAATGCTGGACTAGATGTGCAAAATCTGCCACTGGAGTGTCAGGAATTTCAAGCTTTGCTTCCAAAAGAGACAGTCAGAATCCTGAAAGTGGGGAGAGAGCCAGACCTCACACAGGTTTTTTTTTTTTTTTTCTAAGTGTAAAGCTGCAGAAAGAGTTGCTATTCTTCCTGAGAGGCCTGCAGTCTTCTCAGAGGGGTCCTGCATCCCCCAGCAGGACATCTGCTGGTCGGTGACGCTCTCTCTTGGCTTCAGCGTCGGACAACCATGCCAAGAACACAGAAGAAAACTTTGCTAAAGTTTTGGGAATTCTTGTGTGCCAGTGATGACAGTGGAAATGCCTGAGTCAAAGTGAGCAGGTGCAGCAGGAACAGAACACAGGATTATGCTGGCTGCAATGATTAAAACAGCACTGGTCTTCTTTTTGGTGCAAAGCACTGGAAACTTGGCGCTGGGCGCAGCGTGTTGGGATGAACGCCTTTCAGGAGCGGGAAGAAACAGCAGCTGCACGCGTGAGTTTATGACACGAACCTCTGATTCTAAAGGAACTGCTGGATGCACTTTACCTGAAACTGCTCCAGGCAAATTATTCTTATTCCTTTCATCATTCTTCAAAAACTAATTTAATAGCTGGACAAGAAATGTGGATTTTACTTTAGAACAATGAAGCTCCTATACCTACCTCATGATCTAGCTAAGATATGAAAGATTACCCAGATTACACACAGTATTGTGCAAATGTGAAAAAAATATGTTTTTTCTGCAGATTTCTGATGGCAGCATATAATATTAGAAAACAGATTATTCTACGAATAATTTGTTAACATAAAGAATAGAATAAAGATAACAGAAAGGGCTTCACCTTCTAAAACATGATGGAAGATCCAGTAAACTTCACCAAATGTTCACTCAGACAGCAGACTGTCCTGTGGGTGGATGTCAGCCTGAGTTGTTGGCGGAGCCACATGTTTACAGATGCTGAAGCCCAAATGGTCGACTTCAGTTTATCAGCACACACCATTTATCACAAACTGTCATTTAAATGTATGCATTTAAAATATATATATTTTTTTATTTTAAATGAATTATAGATGCTAGTAAAGATTTAGTCAAAAACAAATAATTTCTATTCAGTTTTTTCCTCTGAATATACAGTCTATAGGTTTTCATCCATCAGATTATGCTACAAAAATTATTTAAACTATTTTACTCATATCATGAGTAAATGGTGGAATTTTTATATATTTGTATATATTAATTGTAAAAACTTTACATAATATATTATGTAGAGGCATAATATAGAGACTGAAAGTTTCTAAAAGTATTATTTTATTCAAAGTTCAAAATATAAAATCATTTTCAACTCTAACACATCAACTAAAGTATGAATGTATGTTTCCTATTTTGGCTGATGAACATATGAAATAAATTAATAATGAAAAAAAAATCACAATATGTTTGTGAACTTAAATCCTCCTTGCTATGCTGCAAAACCAGTAAAGCATCACAGCATTTCTTAGCTTAGTCAAACATCCTTGGGAGCATTTTGTGAACTTCTGAACCAGTAATTTATCAAGATGACCCAGTGATGATTGGTCCCAGTGATGATTGGTCCCAGTGATGATTGGTCCCAGTGATGATTGGTCCCAGTGATGACTGGTCCCAGTGATGATTGGTCCCAGTGATGACGGGTCCCAGTGATGATTGGTCCCAGTGATGACGGGTCCCAGTAATGATTGGTCCCAGTGATGACCGGTCCCAGTGATGACCAGTCCCATCATCACTGGTTCCGGTCATCACTGGGACCAATCATCACCGGGACCAGACGTCCTGGTACGTTGTTTGTCTGGTGAAACTCGTCATCATTCCACTGAGTTAGCAGCAGTGTCTATGGACGCACATGAGACCGTTACAAAAGACGACTTTCTGACAGCGGGTATTTAAATAAAGACTGCAGAGTTTTGGAAAGGAACTCAGCTCCCTGTTATTATCTAAAACAGACATAAATGCGACTGCCCTGCAATTCATTCAAGGTTCAGAGAAAGAGCTGCTGGTTGCTAAGGGATGATGTTTTATTAAGAAGCAGCTGAAAAGACATTTCAATAATTTGACAAGTTAACAGCAGAGTGACAAGAACGACTGTTAAACTGTGACGAGGTATAGAAACTTTCTCTTTGTGGGTGAAAACATGAGGACAAGAAAGCAACGTTCGCCATTTAAGAACTATTTCCTTGCACAAAAAGCATTTTACTCTCATTAGACTTTTTATTATTATTATTTCCTTTATTTAACCAGGTAAACCCCGTTGAGACCTGGCTCTCATTTTCAAGAAGTCTGCAATACACAGCAATCTGGCTAAACAAAACTAATGAATACATATGCACAAGTATAAAACAATAAAAAACTATTTAAAAGCAGTGACACTGTTTAACAGAATCACATTGCCTGTTTATGAGAATAAACTCAATCTTCATTTTCAATATTTGCTATGCAATTTTTAAAAGAAAGCTCTTTATCTAGAATAAAGACAAAATATTTATAATTACTGAAACTCAGTTTGTGCACCTACAGCAGTTGTAAGCAATAGCAGGATTTCTGGTCTAGAGTATGAAACAAATGTTGCTTTTGTCTCATCCACATTCAAAACCAACTTCAGAGTTTGTAAGCGTGTTTGAATTCCATTGAAAGCAGACTGCAAATACTGTATTACCTGTGAACGTGAGGAAGAATAACAGTAAATTACTAACTTATATGCATAAAAATTATAAAAAGCATTTGACATCATCACACAAGTTATTTATATAGACTAAAAACACATTTTCATGCAGTATGATGCTTCAACTGGATTATTATTGCACATCTTAAAATCCTTGGAAAGAAATTTCTAAAAAGCACCTGCAAAGATTTGTGTCTTTTGGTTCCTTCAAGCCTCTCAGCCGTTCCTCCTGTTTGGTCATGGTAAATCCATCCATCGGATGAGCCTGGGTGGAAAGAACCACAGACGGCTTGTTGCTGGAACAGGAAGCTCCATCCTTCTCGACTTTCATTTCAGAGAAGAGAGGCTTTACTGGGCCAACAGGCGCACTGGCAGCATCTACAAAGCATCGGTGCAAGGAGCACACAGACAGGTGATTATCCAAAAATGCTCCAGGGTTCATGCTTAGAAATCTGGAGTGGATCCTTTGCTTTGTGTGAGTATTTAAGATGAGGTCTACAAGGCCTGAGGTTTGGCAATATTAGAGGTTTAGTACAAGTTTTATTTCTCTTTATGTTTTACATCCAGTTGGACAACTGTGACCAAGTTTGAGAAATCTGGAGACATCACCAGCACCAGAGTCATGCCAGCTTGAAGATTAGAGTTTCCCAAATCATGTACCGTCAGAGGTTTTCGACTAAAGACGTTTAAATTGATGTTTATTTTGCAGAAACTGTATTCATCTGCCAAAGACATCTCCGGGCTCACAGTGGACTGGGTTGGGAACGGCGTATTCTGGACGAGCAGCATAAAGGGTCAAATCAAGAAAATGGATTTAAATGGAAAAAATGAGAGGACAATTTTAAGACATTTGTCTCAACCAAAGTTTATAAATGTTGATCCCACTCACAGGTAAATGATCCAGTTACAATGAAATCATTGTGCAGTTTTTTTGGTGGCAGATTGACAGAAATAATTAATGTTTTGACTGGAGTCGGATTTCTCTTGTATGATTTGTGTGAAAAATAAAAATGACCTAATCATGGGCATAAAGTTAGATGAAAAATATTTCAGAATATATGTGAACAATTTCCAAAATGTTCTCAGGTTTTTGTTTTGGCTGTCTGGTGGGTCAGAAATCCAGCGATCTGATCTCTCAGGTGGAATGAAAATGACCGTTTTAAAGCTGGAGGAGCAACTTGAGGCTCTTTCTGTTGACCGAGGAGACAAACGGCTGTTCTGGGTCCAGCTTGGTCTCCAAGGAGAGCGAGCCGTCGCCTCCTGCGATTACAGTGGAAACTCACTGCACATCGTGGACCTGCCACTTCAGTAAACAAGCCCTCTGTCTGATCACTCATTCATTTATGCTTGGTAAATCTACAGTGATGCTAATTTTTAACAATATCATGTTAACATATTTTTTTAGGTCTCAATCACTTGGAATATCGGTTTTTCGGGAGAATGTTTATTACACTGATGCTGCATCCGGCGTTATAAGAAAAATAAACAAATACACTGGAGGACAACCGATAGACGTTAATGGAAAACCGATGGTCAAACCTCCGGTGGACATAAAGGTGGTCCATCCAATCATCCAGCCAATGGCAGATACTTCCTCACTATTTCCAGGTTGCTTCATTTATGTCATCTTCATTTTTAGTTTCTCCACATTTGAATAAGTAAACGAGCTTCGGTGATGAATGTCTTCTCGTCCAACAGGCTGTAATGACCAAAGCGGAAGCTGTGTGAATGTGTGTTCCCGTTTAGAGGAGCAAGGGGTTTGCCGGTGCTCTGAAGGCTTTGCTCTCAGTAACCATGGCACTCACTGTGAAGGTAACTCAGTTTTAAACAACAACACAATCAGAATGGTAGTTGTTCAAATCTTCACATCTGATCTTTACATCTGATTGATCTATTCTGAACGTCAAATAACGTCATAAAACCAAAAAACTTTAAGTTTTCAACCAATGTCGAAACCAATGTTTTCTAGTTGGCTTCGTGGAAACAAAGACTTTTATAAGATTTCATTTTTATTTTGTATGTGTTGTTGTGTATAACGTCTTAGTGGACCAGGAGTCTGTTGAAATAAAGCAATCAGGACACAAAAAGTTGCAGCTACTCATTGACTGAAATAAAAATCACGTTTTTCTGTGACATAGATGTGAATGAATGTGCCCACTGGAACCACGGCTGCTCTCTTGGCTGTGAAAACATCCCAGGCTCATATTTCTGCACCTGCCCCAAAGGATACACCCTCCTGCCAGACGGGAAGACATGTCAAGGTACCAAATAAACATACACATTATAATATATTCACAGTTTCATTCAAAACACAAATAAACAAAGCAGACAACTAAAACAGGCAGTGTTACCCTGTGATGGGCCAGTATTAGCAGATAAAACTGCCTGTGTGCTATATCGGTCCGACTCTACTCCTAATCTCTTCTTCCCTAATCTCACTGCACAATAGGAGAGGTTCCCAGGCACAATGGGATTAGATGGTGAGGTGACATTTGCAATAAGGAACATATCTTGTCAGCAGCTTTGTCTGTTGAAGGTATTTAGTAGACAACCTTTGCCAAGGTCCAGTGGAGAAGAAACATGTTAGACATTAGAGATGAGAGCAGAGATTACAAGCATAACAATGCAGCTTCATCATGTTGGTTTTATGCAAAATTCTGACTTTCAAAATAATACAGGAGTTTGTCACATCTTAAATCTAACCCCCCAAAAATGTCAAGAGCATTTTCCACAGAAACACTTTTCAGCAGAAGGAATTTAACTTTCCAGATCAGAATCACAGCCTGCCTCCACGTCTCTCATCCACTTTCACTCGCTCTGTTGTGAGCTAACATTACATCCCTCTGCGTGTGAGTTTCTCACACTTTCTACTATTTTAATGGGATTAGACCTGATTTCATAAAGGGATTTCACCAGAGCAGAGCCTAAAGGGCTTGACGTCCATCCAGCTCATCTACCACCAGCGAAGCCCTGAAACACGCTGGAACGTCTCAAACATGCAACATTTCCTGCACTCATTCACTTTAAACCTCTGCATATTTATTCCAAACTTGTTCCAAAGTTAATCTGTTATTAAATTTATTTTACAGAAATAACACCATGTGGCGGCATCATAAAGTGTGGACATGGTTGCATACCAACAGAACACGGGGCCTTGTGCGTTTGTCCTGAGGGATCGGTTCTACAGGAGGATGGACACACTTGCACCGGTACTGACAATGTGACACCAATCAGGTCCAGTTAACAAACTTTAGGTCCAGTAATCTCTGACTAGAATTTGTTGAAGAACTTAACCAGCAGGGGGTTTTCAAACAGCACCGGCTTCTGGCTGAGGATCTCCGACAGGCAACACAACAAAATAATTGATGAAAAACTTCAACTTTTAGAAGTTTTTTTTTTACTTTATTTACTATTCCATAATTATTATATTCATTTAGCATAATTTCTACCTCATTCCTTCTGATGTTAGTTTCCCATGAGTATTCAGGCTCCACAGCAGGGCTGCTGTCGTTTTCTTGGTCGTTTTCATACATTTAGTCCGTTTGGTGATCGATCCATCAGCCTGAGGAAGAAAACTGACTGTGAGCCAAGCAGAAAAATGAACAATTTATTTTAAAAATAATGGTGTAAATACAGATTAGGTTAAAGAAATATAATTAAAATGTATGATAAAACAATATATAAGTTTCAATTTTGTTATCCGCTTTGTTTCTCCTCTTCCCCCAGTTTGTGACGTCTCTCTAGCGCCATCACTTTGGAAAACTGTTTTAAAAAGTAATTAGGCATAACTCAGTGAACATCATAAAAAAAAAAAAAACACAAAAAACTTAAGATTTCAGCTTGATAAAAAAAGTCAATATTTATATTAAGCTCTGTGTTCATCAGGGTCGTTTCTAAATGCTTCAGTAAGTTCAAGCAGACATTGAAGAAAACTTTGTCAGTTCTTAACATGGTTGGAAGTAACAGGCGTTTCACTGGTACCTGTACAAACAGATGGTCCAACACAGGAGAGCAAACTCACCGGGTCAAGAATCACAAGTTCAGCTACAGCTTAAAAACAAGAGGCTTATTGGAGACAATAATGTGAATGTTTGGGTCAGAGAAGATGGAGGGTTTAGAGGGATGAAAGGTTATTCATGTTTAATGGTAAACATGAATAAACAAGACCAGAAGGAGCAGCTTCAGATTTCATCTTTCCAATTCATACTTTGCAGCCTTAACTCGTCTACCAAAACAATTCGAAAGGCATCTTCAGGGAAACGTTCAGATAATCAGACAACAACAACCCAAACACTGAGCTAAATCACTGGTAGGACTAGTGACTCAGTGTCCGAAGTGACACATGGTCCTGTTAATGTGATTGTTCTGAAAACATAATACTTTTACTTCTAACCATTTTCAGAACAGAAGAAGCTTTTTGGATCGGAGGTGAAACATTTTGAAGAAGTCCGGTTGTCTTCTATATAAAAGCTTAGGATTATTGCAGTTTCCTCTGTATTTCTTCTTTGTTTAACTCTTATTATATTTTTCCTGTTTCTTTTAACAAGCTGATTTCTTGAGTAATCAGCTTGTTAAAGTAACTCAAAAGAATGTATTGTAAAACAAAACATTTTCTAACGTAATCTACAGAGGCCTTTTGATCATTTTGCTCTTTTTAACAATTTGACGTTTTACTGAAACCAACGAGCCTCATCAGAGCCGATGCCACAGCTGAGCTTCAAACCTTAAAACAAGAAATGTTCACAAACCAAAAAGCTGGTCGATATTATTTAGACAGAACAGAAACAAACTTCTGTTCTACTTGTCTTCCCATTGTGAGCAAATATTAATTATTCAGAGGTGAAGTCAGCTACTGGGTGCAGTTTCTGTAAAACACAGTTTTACTATTTTAAAACAAAGTGAACATCATAAAACCAGAAGTCTCTGTGTTTTCTGAAAGGCTGCAAACATCTTTAAATCAGCACTTTTCATGACTGATAAAGATTGAAAGCTAATAAAGATGAAATCAAATTTACTGCACTTCGTTAAGACTTCCTGTTATCTGCTTTATATCATGCTCTACTTTGTACCCTGAAGAAAATCTTGTAGTAAATGACTTCTTCATAAATCTTTTTAAGAGCTGTGACTTTATTTTTGCACATTAAGGTTTGTAAAAATAAAAAGTTGACTCCAAAGAGTGTATTTCTTAGTAGAAGCTGGTCGTGTTTAATATCAGATTCATTTCGCATTCCCTGGAGAAAGAAAAAAGGTTTGGAACATGAGGGTTAAAGGTTTAAATAGTTACATTCTGTAAGCTTTGAGACTGCAAATTCAGTTATTTGTCTTTTTTTTTAGCAGTTTATTTCAATAAATTGTGGCCGGAGGTGGAATACAAGGCTGAATTCACTTCACACAAAAATGTTGCAAGCACAAAATGAACCTTTCACTATACCAAAAGGAACACAGGGACAAATTACAGGAAACACGATGTCCAACAAGTTTTCTGTTGCTGTCCGTCAGCGGTGAAAACTGATGCAATAATAAAAATACATAAAATTATTGCAAAATATTGTCAGAAGCAGAGTGTAAATCTGGATCTGTGTTATTAACGCTGATCTCCAGGTTGCTCTTCAGCAGACAGAGGTGGCTGCAGTCAGCTCTGTTCCTCCATCACCCCGAGTCGCTGGCAGTGTGGATGTCTTCCTGGGTACAGGCTCCACCAAGACGGCAAACGCTGCATTGCAACTGGTGAGCCATTGCAGCAAAACAGGCAGCAGAGGCAGAGCTGCCTACACAGAAGCTCCTCTTATGCATGCATGTCACTGCCTACATCTCTTTCTGCCATACAGCTAATTAGAAAATGCCATATTCTTTTCTTCAGGACCTCCTGCCTTTCTAATCGTGGCCAATGTGATGGATGTGAGAAGAATGAACCCAGATGGGACGGAGGAACAAACTCTAGTGAAGGAACCCAGAGGAACAATCTTAGCTCTGGACTTTGACCCTGTCCAACACCGTGTAAAACTTCATCTTTCATCCGTTTTCCTCCCGCATTTTGTTTTTATTCACAGCTTAGCAAACATAATGTTCTATTGCACTCTTATGAGATGTTTTGATGTGCAGTGCCATCTAGTGGTCATTTGTAACATCTCAATGACATTTCTTTTTTTATAAAAATTGGGATGAATTTCAAGGTCTACTTTGCCAGCATCAGCCAGAGGACGATAGAGCGGCTTGATCTGAACACTGGCTCAAGAGAGGTTCTTGTCTCTGAGAGTTTGGACTCTCCAGAAGGACTGGCAATCGACTGGGTTCACCACACTATGTACTGGTCTGATACAAGGTGAGCAATGTATGATAAAACTATAGAAATTTTACTAAGACAAATAAATTAATGCTGGCACAAAGCTGGCTGTTGCTATGCAGTTTAACACATTTTAGGAGTCAGTTTATGGAAATGGGTTTTGTAAGAATTTAAGTATTTATTGCATTTGCTCTGCAGGAAGTCAGCCGTTGACTGCAGTACACTAGACGGACTGAAGAGGAAAACTGTTGTGAAAGAAGGGCTGGAAAAGCCCAGAGGAATTGCGGTTCATCCCCAAGCAAAGTGAGTTAAACTGATTTTGTTTTTCCCAGCAATAGAAACTAAAAAACTAAGCAAAGACTAATAGACTTTGATTTTGACCTTTAATACAAATCTAAATAAAAAAACAACTCTCAATGCCCATAGCTAAAGGTGTGTGAAAACTTTTCTAATATCATGAAACCTGATATCTATATTTTTCATGTTGGATCACCTACTTCTGGAGGAAGTTATTCTGGACAGACACCGGCGCTCAGCCTGTGGTGGAAAGCGCCACTCTGGAGGGAAGCAGCCGTGTGATGGTTGCCAGCACCGGCCTCGTGTCTCCCACCGGTCTGACCATCGACTTCACTGATGATCGACTCTTCTGGTGCGACCAGATCAGGGGCCTGATAGAAACAGCAGCTTTGGATGGTTCTGATCGACGGGTCCTAATAGAGAACCAAGTAGGTGAGGTTTGTTTGAAGCATGTATTCAACAAAATTAGACATCTGTAATGAATCAAAAACCAAAACAGAAAAGCGTGTTGCAGATCAGGTTGTGGTATGGAAAATTACAACAAAACGTATCAGGAAAAATCTGCAGTCGTCATCATGCTGAGCAAAAACAAATAAATGACATGTTGTCCTGTAAGGCAGAGTCTAAATGTATAAAGCATATTTTATTAACGAAACAACAAAAGGTGAATATACTTTTTTTTTTTTTTAAATCTAGGAAAATAGATGGAAATATAATACAGATACAATTTATACATACAAACATAAATATCCATTCATCTTCACAGTTCATGCAGGGAGCTGGTGAGTGATAAAGCTTTAAAGGTAAAACAGGAGAAAAGACAGAAGCTAACCGATTTAATGCTTTGCACAAACAAATCTTTAAAAATTAATCTGCTTTTATCAGGCAACAGGCAGAGACCCAAGCAGAGGAATCACTTCATGTGTGATCAGTCACTTCAGCCGGAAGCGAACCAAATCCGATTTATTGGATCGCTCGTTCACACCTCCAAATATGTGGCTGATATGTGGTCTATGAGAACCGCAAACAACCGCAAAGTGTCCCGCATGCGCAGTGCATGGCGCAGAACGTCACGTGACGCAGGATTGCCATTGTTCTGCCAAAGGCCATAAAAAATAAGATCATATGATAATTATGGAGCAAATCTTACGATTTTAAAGTCGTTGACCGATGGAAGGCAGAACATTAACAACTTCATCCTCATCACAGGCCGCCATGTTGTTCTTCCCCGCATCATAGTAGTGACGTTTGTCGAGTAACAATGACGTTCAAGTCGGATGAGCGCGACCTGACCTCACAGACTGACCACATATCCACATGTGATCCTAAATCCAAATGGCCAAATGGTGGCATTTGAAAAAAAAAAAAATCCGATCTGTTTTGTTCAGACGGTAATGAAAAGATCAGAGACAGAAGGTCACATTAAGGGGGAAATATCGGTTCTGAGGCCATTTCAGACTGCAGTGTGCAGCTCTGACGTCACAGTGCGCTAATTAACCTGATGAGCAACAGGTGTGACAGCTGACGGCTGAGAGCAGAGGGTGAACATTGGGCCAATGGCTCCACCTAGTGGACAGCATCAGAAATATTTTGTCATCAGAGTTTTTTATTTATTTATTTACTTTTCTTGAATGGTACATGATAAAGATTTTACTTGATAATTATGTGATTATCAATATTTAGGCCAAAGTAGATCGTTAATCCTGAGTTCCAGGCCTTGCTTTCACCTGAGACTGGTGTCAATTCTGTTTCTGTGAGGGTTTTCACTTTCGCTGAATCTTTTTTATTAAATTGTTTAGTTGCAAGAAATTGTTTGCCAAAGTTTGTTGAGTTCACAAACCAGTTTTTTTCAGTCTCCATCTGCTTCTCCTGCACATGCCAGGAGAAGCAGATCTGAGCCTCAAGGGTCCTTCATGTTCAACCTTGAGTTTGATCAAATTAAAACTATTCAGCTACAGATTTGTCTTTCCATTCATTAAATGGTAAAATGTGTAAAAATGCTTATTTACCATTTCCATTCCTTGTGCAGTTGGCCATATAACTCTTCAGTTATATGCTCTTGTCTTCTGTTGGGATTGTCCTAGGACGACCCTTTGACCTCGCAGTTTTTGAGGACAGACTGTGGATATCTGAGTGGGAGCACCAACAGATAAGGAGCGTCCACAAGCGGACTGGGCAGAAGCTGCAGCGTATCCATGGCAGCTTGGCTCAGCCAGCATCAGTGGTGGTGGTGCATCCCCTCGCTAAGCCAGGTAGACAAAATAAACAACGGTGAATACAATCTCCTGTCAGTTCATATGTCATCAGGCCACTAGGTGACATTTTGGGTATTAAACTCCAGCTGAAAATCAGATTCTGTGTCTTAGTGAACCATGAAAACAAATTTAATGTGTTTAAAACTTCTCCTCAGGAGCAAATGCTTGTCTTCACCTGAATGGAGGTTGTGCTCAGATGTGTGAAAGCAACCAGGGACTTTCACATTGCTCCTGTTTGCCTCACTTCACCCTGTCAGCTGATGGAAAAAGCTGCTTGTCTGTCAGTTCTTCAAATGTTTCTGCAGGTAAAGTAGTTAAATTTATACTCAGATACGTTTGGGACCATCAAGTTTAAACTAAACGTTTGTTTCTCATTATTATACAGAATCTGGCGATAAAACCTCCAACCTAACTTCTCTGAAAAACAAAACATTACATGAGGAGAGCATCATCCCACTGGCGGGTGATGATAGGAAGGCTGAAGGTACTGACCCAGCTCTGTTCACAGAAAAGATGATTGCAGGTAATGGTGCCCTGTTAGCACCATTTCTTTTATTCTTATGCTCCAGTAACCTTTGCAGCGTTATTTTGTCACTCTGTTCCTCTGTCAGACCAGAATGAATGTTCCTCGCTCCGCTGTGCTGTGAGTGCCAGGTGTGTGCTGGATGCTGGGAACCCTCTCTGTTTGTGTCAGGAAGGCTTTACAGGTGACGGACAGACATGTCTGGGTAAGGTTTCCCTTAATGCTGAAATTACAATTCTAAATAGAAATCTGGCAAAACTAGCAGCTATTTATGCGTTTACATTTGATCTACCTCAGGTTGAACCAGCTCGACCTGAAACTGTCTGACAGATTTGGCAACAAGTGATCAAGCTGTTTTCATTTAAATGGATGAGACATATAGTGTGCTCCACTTCGGAAACAGATTTGGCAACAAACAAACAAAAAAACATTACAGGGGAAGAATAAAGAAAAATAATGAAGAGTTAGAATATAGACTAAAATGGATTACATACTAGTAATTATTATTCAAAAGCAACAATAAACAAGTGGATTTCTAGTCTTGATTTAAAGGAACTCAGTGTTACAACAGTTTTGCAGTTTTCTAGAAGTTTGTTTCAGATTTCTGGAGCATAGAAGCTGAAAGCTGCTTTTCTATGTTTGGTTTTGGTTCTGCGGTGCATAGCAGAGCAGAAGCAGAAGACCCGAGAGGTCTGGAAAATGTTGTCGATTTAACAAACAGTATTTGTTAAATCACTAACAAATGCTGTTGTTGGTGATTTATAAACTAGCAGTATTTTAAATTCTCTGAGCTACAGGGAGCCAGTGCAGGGACTTTAGAACTGGTGGGTCAGTACGGCAGCAGCATTCTGGATCAGCGGCAGCTGAGGGACTGAATTTTTTAGGCAGACCTGTGAAGACACTGTTACAATAATCAATGCCACTAAAGATAAGCACATGGATGAGTTTCTCTAGATCTTGCTGAGATATAGTTCTCTAATCCTGGCAATGTTCCTCTGGTGACAGAAGGCCAACTTTGCAGCTGTCTTAATGTGGCTCTAAAGGTTCAGGTCACAGTCTAAAACTACACCAGCTTCCAGCTGTAATAACTGAAGCTTTCTGCTGACTCGTTCCTCTTCAGGTCCAATGATAACAGCTTCAGTTTTGTTTCTGTTCAGTTGGAGAAAGTTATGACACCTCTACACATTGAGCTACCTAAAATGACTAAAATGATGTCCTTCAGCACTGGACCGCACTTCGCCGAAGGCAACATCTCAAACTCCCATGGATGTGACGACCCAGCACCACATCAGCAACTCAGCAGAGAAGTGCCCTCCCAGCCATGATGCCTACTGTCTGCACCACGGAGTCTGTTTCTACTTTCCTGAGCTAAAGTCCTATGCCTGCAAGTAAATACATCTCCTCATGTCTGATCTCTCCATTTCATCCACAGGCTTAAACTCTGAATTTACTGAAAACTCCATGTTGTGCGCCATATAACTTGCTGCACGTTGAACTATTAGGCAGAGAATATTTGGTTGTGGTAATTGTGACACGAGCTGCTGTTTCAGACAACATGCACCAGGTGTCACTGTTGTTCCACCACCTACAACTTTAACGCCTGATTGTTAAAGGGTGATGCTTTAGACAAGAGTTGTATCTGTCCTTATTAGCAAAGAGAATCGAGCACATTTTAAATATAATTAATCATAATAAATTATAAATCTTCAAACCCATCCCTGGGTGACAGAGCATCACTCGACTCAGACAGGAGAGCAGAAATACTGACTCATTCCAGGGATTCACCAGCATCCGAAACTCAGAGCACCAGAGTTAAAAACATCACAGTCACATGAATGTTCCCACAAAACGTTTTTTAATAGCAGGAAATCCCCTATGACATGCTGGATATTATAGGTGGGCTTGATTCATATGGAGATTTAAAAGTGTAGCTTCAAATAGGAAAAGTGGCATTTTTAAAATATATATATTGAAGTTAGGGGATAACGTATGGAACACCATTTGCAAAGTTGCATAAAGATTTTACAGCAATAATTTGGGTTAATTAGCTTGTCATAAGTGAAAAAAAATTATAGTATTCATTCATTTATAGATTTTATAGATTCAAACTAAAGAATCTAAAAATAGAGCATATAATTCTAACTGTTGGTAAGACTGAAAAATGGTGCAGTCACTGTTGCTGTAGATCAATTTCTAAGTATTTGTTTTGTTACTAAACGTATCTGTCAGGCTGACATGTTGTACATATCAAAAAGAAAAGGAACAATAACCAAAGAGGTAACATTAGCATCAATTAAAGTAATTCAGCTTCACTAGCAGGAGTTTTTATAGAGGTTTGTAAGACTCAGCTTTTATTTTGATGGTCAACTTCCATTCATTGAAGAGAAAATTTGCATATTACATAAATAGTTTTGTTTAAATATTTAATTTGTTAGGAGTTGAATATTTAGCTTGCTAACTAAACATTTAGTTGGAAACTTTGATATTTATGTAAATTATTACATTTATACTATGGTTTTTATTACCATGATAAAACATGGAAGCTAGAAACCTGGAAGAAAAACCTGTTAGAATTTGCAGAACACTGGAGCTTCACCGTCCAGCAGGAAATAACCCTAAAGACACACACACACACACACACACCCATCCCCCCCACACACACACACACAGACCACAAAGCTGGACTTGCATTTGTGAGAACAAAAAAATGTGGGTTAAATCAAAGAGCATAAAATAAAATGCTTGTCTCACGTTCCAAAATTTTAGTTGTAAAAATTGTGTCAAAATGTTTAATATTTTCTTTTCCCTCTTCAAATTTACATCTATGATTGTTTGAGGTGTGCCTAAAATTTGATGATTCTTTCCTTGCATATGAAGAACTTCCTGGTTTGCTCAAATATTGTTTGTGAAGTGGCTGCATGTCTCTTGTAAAAACTATTTTCATATATGCCAAAGTAAAAGTAGTATTTCATCTAAAGATTAACTTGAGTTTAAACATTTCCTCTTGCTTGAATCTCAAGTTTTGAATTTTCTTGAATAGGATAAAAAATCCTTATTTGTCTGTGTTCATTGTGCAGCTGTATCCGAGGCTACTTAGGGGCAAGATGTCAGTTCAGTGACCTGGAATGGCTGGAGCTCCAACAGGCTGAGAAGGAGAAGGAGAGAAATCTGGTCATTGGAGGCTGCATGGTGGCGCTCATTTCCATCATTTCCATCACAGCCTGTATCACCTACTGTTTCCGGTGAGTTTCAAGTGACGGCTGGCAGTAGTGAAGGCCAGATGTAGGGTGATGCTTTAAAAGTTGAACAAGGCCGGTGGAAACAGATCTAGAATCTTGTAAGTGGGTTTTCAGGGTTTAACACCACAGTTATTAAAATCAACCCGAAACATGTTCAGTTGTGTAAAGAATGATCTGCCGTTCTTTCCAGTGAATCAAACACCATTTAGTGAGAGCCATGTAATGGCCTCTGTCAGACAGCAGGGGGCGACGGGAAGCTAATCAAATGGTGAACAACTAGCATGCAATCCTGCTTGTCTGAGTAAAGCCCAACTCTTCTGCTTTGTTTCCAGCTGAGATGTTTTTAAGTAGCTGATTTGTTTCATTGTCGTTTTTCTGCCGGCTCTTTCCCTTATTTTGCTTCACAAAGCGCCTCGCTACACAACCCCACGTCCTACAACATCCCAGTATTTACACTCCTGCTTCCCCAGTGGAAATGGCACGCTTTCAATTACATGGTTGGTTTAGCTTGTTCTACAGCAATTACACACAAAAATAGGTCATTCCTCGGCTACTAAATGGAGTCGGCGAGGTATGACCTCAGTGGAAACGCTACATGGTCGCCAATAGCGCTGCCTCAAATTGCCTTCTGCACTTGACTGAAAGCTTACTTGTGAAGTCTGTGAGCTTGCTGGATTTGTTTCACCTGCAACCACAAACAGTGAAGAAAGGTCATGTTTTAGAAGCAAGAAAATCAAAGTGAGTGAAGTAATGATTATCATCTCTGGCTAATAAACATTCGGTGGTTTTCATTTATCTTTTATTCTGAAGATCTAAGAGACTCGTCCTCAAACAGACCTCAGAGGATAATGTGAGTGAGATCAGCATGACTGATGGGAGCATGTCTGAGACGACCACCACCAGCGTTCCTCGTGTAAGAGCTCTATCAATTGTTTTATTCTCACATGGTCACATTTTTACTTACAAATTTAAATTTGTGCACATATATATGAATAAACGTTCCTCATACTTGCAGAAAATACAACTTCTTACAGCATTCAACTAGGCTCTGGAGTAATTCCAGCGAGACATTTAACCACTTTTAATTTCAGAACAGATAGTTCATGGAAATTGTTTGGTATCCTGGCATGATACATTTAAACATAGTTCATTACCCGCTTAATGTTAGCCTCCTTTATCCAAACCAGTTTGAATGTGTTTGAAATCATGGTGCTGTTGGAAGATTAACAAGTTATGAAAACATGTCTGGAGGAGTCAAGACAAAGCTTTCAAACCTCAGTGCCTGAACCAACTGTCATGCATGGTGGTGATGGGATCATGCTGAGGGTCTGCATTACAGGTGCCTGTTCTGGCACAAAGCGGAAGAAACAACAAATGAGGATTTCATCCAGATTCTCTAATTTCATCTCAAGTCAACAACGAGATGGTAAAACTTTGACTTACCTTTTGGTTTCATCATACTCCCAAACACACCAGAACTGGTTTTGACTTGGATAAAACAGGCTAACATTCGGGATCTAGAAAGAATTAAATCTTGATTAAACTGAAAATTTGTAAACTGTGCATGAAGATTTGGAAATCAGCTGATTAAAATTATCTGCTCAGAATCTTAGATCAAGATTCTAAGGATGCTAGAATCTTGTTAGCTACAAAAGCTTTTTTATGCAGCTTGCTAATATGTATAATGTATGTATATATATAAGCTTGTATGTACTATTTTTACCTGGATTCTAACATTTTGCATTAGATCTAAACTTATGCATCAAATTTATATTCATGGAAACAGAATAGAAAACATGGATTATTAAAAAACCTTATGAATAATGGATATGTGCTTTTCTACCCACATTAAACTCGATACCAGAAATGTCTAGTCAGCCATGAATCCAGTTCTATTCATTAACTTATTACCACCATAAACAAATATTGTAAAAATATCAAAGTCAAAGCTTAAATATGTCTACTATATGCATCCACAGTTCTTCATGATAACAGAAAATGGTGAGAACAAGGAGGCCATCCACCCAGATCCAAGGAGAGCTGCCTGCTCACCATGTGCTACAGAAACAGGTGCCAGAAAAATCCTTCAACAAGTTTTCTTTCACACTTTTCAAACCAGCTGTAATGATACAAATATGTTTTCAGCCATCAAACCTATGTCTGAACAGCCAACATCAATTTTCAAACATGACAAAGAATATGGGAATTTGAAGCTTCCAGATGTGACCACAGAGATTGTCCAGCCTGCTGCCCGACCTGCCGCTTAGCCTGACGCCCAGCCTGATGCCTAGCCTGATGCCCAGCCTGATGCCCAGCCTGCCGCCCAGCCTGCCGCCCAGCCTGATGCCTAGCCTGATGCCCAGCCTGACGCCCAGCGCTCGAGTACTTCACCATCAAACTCAAACACAGACAATTCTTCATCTGTCAAACCAGAAACAAAATAATACTCCTACGTCACAGTCACCTCCTTCCTATTTCAGAAGAACCCAAAACAAAGCTGGACCGCTCTGTAGCATGTAGAAGTATGAAGATATATTCTATGAAGTCCATTATTCCATCAGAACCAGGAAGACGGGATTTTATCCTGATTAAATCTCCATTCCATGTGGTTTGCTTTCAGTTCACACAACAGATATGATCCTTTTTTGAATGTTTGGCATAAATTTATGTGATTTTGTTAAACTTCAGATTTCCTCAACTGTGACTCTTGCTAGCTTAATGTCCATTAGCATTTGCAAAAAGAATGACATAGTTTCATTTTGTCCAATTTCTTTCTTATTTTACGATATTCAGTAAAATTTAGAAAATTATAAAATAAAAATGATTAAGTAAAGTTTGAGATCTGAGAGGTTTTTCTTTTGAACACTTTTCAATCAGACTCTAGTGGTTAAAAAATTGGCTGAACTTCTTACAATTAAATCCTAAAAATACAAAATCTGTTTATTATTTGAATTCACTTAAAACGGTTTTACCATTGAAACCATTTAAACAAGTTCAAGTCAATGCAGCCAGCTATCTACGACTAAGGTAGTGTGCTTGTAGGACCACAATTAACATTTATGCCTGTATATAACTAAATATAATAACATTAAATCTATTTGGGAATTATAATGTTTATTTTATAGATGGCTTGATGGACGGTCAGTTCTACTGAGATTTATGTTTTGAAAACTTCAGATTTTTCAACAGTTTGGTTACTATATGTTTTCTTTGTGTAATGGACACAATTTTAATAATCTATTTTTAATAACTGAAAGATTATTTTGAGCATTTATGAACCATTTTTGGTTTGTTACAGTCCATCACTCTCTTCTTAAAGCTCAGCTGGGCTCCATCGATGATGCTTTTCTATCTCCCAGCAAATCTCCCGCTCTAGTGGTGCTGGTACCACTAGTGCCACCCTTCACCGCCACTCCACCTTTCCATTTCTACCTCCATCTCTCTGACTCTTTCTCAAGGTTGACTGGGAGTCGTTAATAGAAGGAACCACAGCCTCTTTGTTTCGGGGTGATGGCAGCAAACAAAGCACTTTAACTCAAAAACCATCAGTGGCCACATTGATATTGATTTTTGTGGCAAGACACACTTATCTATATATTGGGCTCCATTAGTGCTAACAGATAGGTTAGAGCACCAATCCAAACAGAAGCAGATCAGCCGGCTCGTATATGAATCGAGCCTAGAGTCAATTTATCTTGTATTACTGCTCAATTGGGGCAACAGGGGGCAATAGAGTCACTGACACTGTAAGTAAACGGGTTCTGAAGGGGCCCCAGTTTTCTCCATTTTAAATGCACCACAGTGTAAATATAATTAAAAAGAAGGATTATTATATTCTTCAGTAAAGGTATGAACTGTGAAAGAGACAGTTTGCAGAAGCTGTTAGAAGTTTACATCCAGACTTCATGGGTGTTAATTTCATATGAATTTGATGCTTTTCAAAACTAATTTCAAAAGTTAGATTACTTTTTTAACAATAAAATAATTTTTTTAATTATTATTATTATTTCTTTTTTTTCCCTTTGTTTGGCAGGGACCTGCATATTAGAAAACCTGATTTGGGGATTTATAAAGAGCAAGATGACACCAAACTTGTTGAAAATTGTTTTTTTGGGGGAAACTAACCAGTTTAGCAGCTCTTCTAATCACTTATCAAAGATTATGTTCATGGCTACAAAAAGAGTGGGATTTCTTTGCAACTTGCTGAAGAAGATTTAACCACGTAGAGAAAACATAGCTATTCATTTTAGCCTGTATGGACACAATTTTGACCCAGAGTGACAATAAATTTAAACTTGTTTCTTGTATTTTCCATCCTGCAAAAACAAAAACTTCAATGTTTCCGCTGCTGAACTTACAAAAATCACAATACAGAACGACGAGAAGGACCAGCTTTCTTCTCATTCATTCTTCAATGTCCAAATATTTCTAGCAGATGGGTGTAATTTTGACTTGTCGTTCATGTTTCCAGCATGACACAGAGGAAAGCCGATGAGGGCTAAAGAAGGAATTAGCTGCCCACTCAAAGGCTTTGCTCTGATCCTTCAGGTCACTGTTTGGTCCCTCCAGCTGCTGAGCAGGACAGAGTAACACTGATTTGTGGGGATTTGTGTAGATTTAAAATCCAGGAGGAGGGGGTGCATCTTTTAGACAAAGACACAAGATTCACAGTCTATAGAAGGAAGAGAAAGAAGAGAAACCCAAACTAGCGAAGCCCCATGAGTCGCTCCATCTCCCAGAGGACCAGTGAAATCTGCTCTCAGAGTCAATCAGTGTGGAAACTGAAAACAACTCCTAATAAACTGTGGAACAAGAGATGTGTTAAAGTGAAAGCCAAATATATTATTGGATGGTATAAATAGATCTAATAGTTCTCTCGTTTAGAATCATTTTCAGCAGATATCCCTGAAGTTGTTTCACTAAAATATTAAAGTTATATGAAAATTCGGAAAGAAATTTATTTGCAGTATTTTTGTGCCCAGAACAAAAAACCTCAAAAATAATAAGTTTATGGTTACAAAAATGTACGGAAAGCTGAGCTGTTTATTTCCATATTTACCACTAGATGGCGACAGCATATAGAGACAAAAACAGTTTTTAAACAAGAGACAACAATGACAACATGCAAGTAACAGCGTTCATATAAACATTTATTTTAACACTATTTTTAATACTACTGTGTTTTAGTTAAATACACAGTAGTATTATAGGACAAATACTTTACATTAAAACAGTATTTACTTCTGTCACAAATCAAGCTTCGGTCTGATGAAGCTGGATGTATCACATTCGGATTTATTTAGTTCTGTATCCAGAAGATAGTAAAGGACCTTTTGGCAGCATCACATGCTGTTTCTCAGCATCATGAATCAGAGCAGCTGCTTGTATGATTCACCAACCTCTTTAAACATTTGATAATAATAAAACAGAAACATTTCAAGTAGATACAAACTAAATCCAGATCACTAATCACTATTATCAGTCAGACTGACGGGCTAAATCTAGGCTGTTCATGTAATTGAAATCCATTGTTTATCAGTGATAATCCTGTACCTGGTGATAATCCGTTGTGCAGATATGACAGAGTGAGATGCAGATATATACCAACATGTCTCCCTCATTTTACTTCTTAGAACAAAAACAATATATTAATAATGACAGAACGCCTACAGAAAAATGTTTGTTGAAAACAGGAGACAAATGCCAAATCATGTATTTGACTGGAAAAGTTAAATGTGCTATTTGAATGTGAAAGTGCTGTTCTTTTCAATTCCATGGTACAAATATTTCTGAAAGCCTGCTTCACCAATCTCTCCATCCCAGGGTAGTTCAATTTCTGATCCAGGTTCATTTGAACTTGGCCTGACTGTCAAATTTACAATCCAGGTCAGACTCAGTCATTCACTTTCTATTGGATTCTATTTTAATTTCAATTTATTTCAGACTTAAAGCCACACTTCTTCAGCTGATGGCGACTCCTTGGCAGAGGCGTCATCTGTTAGACCTTCCATGTCTCTCCACCCTTTGGCCATCCCGGCCAGCAGGACTCTGTGTTTCTGGTTAGCACAGTGTTGACAGGTTGCTTGATATGAAGCATATATTGTTAGATGCCAGAATTATTCTTTTCAGGCAAGTCTGAGTTTATTATTTCTGCATTAGATATGGCAGCCTTCTTAAAAATGGTTAGTTTGCTGTTTCAAATTTGTGTCATAACTAAGAATTATCCAAGTGCCAAATTTGTTGCTTGCATCAATTTGAAAAAATTCCTGGAAAACATTGTTTTCTGCTGCACTTCTAAGACTCACCTGAATCAATCAGGTGTGTGAAGCACATCCAAACTACCACTGCCAGAAACACCTGAAAAATGAATCATATAAGAAAATTCTTTATATTCCTCTGTTGTTATTGGCCAGCAAAGCATTGAATGATCTCTGTCCTGAAAATGTTTATGGTAGCATGGTACCTCTGAGCTGCTTGACAGATATGGGTCATGCAGACCCCACAGGTCATGACAGACCTGCCTACTTAGTGTTTGCAGAAAGTGAGAACATGAGGAGGCAGCATTTTGTTTCTGTTCTTGACCTCTGGAAACAACACACTGAAAACCTGAGACACACTTTGAAGTATCTTGTGTTCTGTGAACTTGTCTGCCCTTGGCTTGCTTTGTCCAGCTCCAGTTGCAGCTTTGTGACACACTTTCCAAAATTATGGTTATTTCTCTAAAAGGTTATTCAAGATTTGCTAATTTTTCAGATTTCTGTTGCTTGAAAATGATCTATAAGATTATAATGCAGAGACAAACAGTCCAAGGAGACAATGAGCGGACATCCTACTAGCCAGTCAATAGTTCTGTTACTGCCAGAAACTCAATTTGTAAAAAACCTGCTATTTGTCATGATTCTTTATGGTACTGGTGACATTCTTCAGATATCCACAGGATAATATGCCAGATAGTGTCACATAATTATGAGAAAACAAGTCAGTGAAAACCAACAGCCGTTTTTATCTCAACATGATTGATTTCTTCTATCTCTGAAACATAGTGGAATGGGAAATGGAAATATAAAGTTATAGTGGAGTCCCACCTGTCCACTTTTCACACAGCACCTCTATTTGAAAGAAGATACAGCTTGAGAGGCTGCAATACCAAGATGCAATGCTACTATACATGCTCTTGGCTAGCATCTGCTTGGAGCAAAACCAAAGGCTTTCATAAACTGTGTTGAGTTGTAGGGGCAACCGGATGACCCTTAGCCTAGCGCAGGCTAAGGGCTAACATAGCCTGTGCTAGGCTAAGGGCTAACATAGCCTGTGCTAGGCTAAGGGCACAGCTGCAAAAACAGTTGCTTTAGCCATTCATTTCCCGGTTCTGGTGTCATTCTGGTTTCAACTAGGCCATAAGAGTTTGTGGGGGCTCGTCCAGGATTGGCACATATATCCTTCAGGACTAAATAGAAAATGCATAAATTGCTTTTTTTTTCTTTTTCTGGGTTAGGCCATCAGTTAATACTGTGTCACTCCCCTCTGAACACAAATATGTTTTGCCGGATGATGTTTTTGGTCTTAGCTCATCACCAGAAAGGCCTGGAGAGCTGAAATTCATTTCTGTGGCCTAGTTCACACACGGCCAGGCCTTTTCAAAATGACATAGCAGCGATATCGTTTCTATAAAATAATCTCGTCCACACCTAATGGGTTTAAGAAAAGTGTTCATCCACACAAATCCGCTGAATTATTCCATTCAGCATTGTCTAAAAC